CATAGCGGACCCTGCCAGAAGAGGACCTGCTCCCTCTGTAAATAAAAACAGCTCATTCTAAGGTGACAAAAACACAACAATTCCTATATTCTGGTGATTATACACTGAAAACATACCTATAGATATTATATTCCATTTCTGCCAGTAGAGCCTGCTAAATGTTACACACTGGACCTTTAAATATGCACATAATAACTACATACATTATGTTAAAAGAGGCTAAAGTTGACAGGTCTTGAAAAAAGACACCACCTTTAAACTATTTAAATATCTCTCTTATTAGAGCCCCCAAAACACACACTTTACAGGCTACGGTTGCTAAGCTATGATTGTCACATATACTGTCCGGGGTCGGGGTTTAGCTAAAGATCAATTTCTGGGGACGTAAATCACAAATATTCACATCTCTTAAAAATATCTGGAATCTAAAACTGGAGAACACTCATTTATTCCCGCCTGTGTTTTACTTCATTCCTAATAAGAATTAAAAATCAGCCAATTGCACTTTATACCCAAATGATTTTTAATATACTGTAAGTTGCTGTTCCTATGAAAGTGATTCTAAAGAGAACTTAATTGTTACACATTGTATTACTGAAGTTGGGAGTGTTGTGGTGATGTTCACAGGGAGCCTGGTGTAAATATGTAGGATGTGTGATTTGCAATGAAAAGAAGCAGTTGAGTGAAGGATGTAAAATACGGTAAATAGTAGAATCTTACTCAGACATATGATATACAGAAATTTGGTACTGATAATATATGATACGTGCAAAGTGTTTTATATGCAATAGAAATAACAGTCCTCTGAAATATTCTACAGTTTTGGAAATAAGTCAATTGCTTCAGTTGGATTCAGCCTGCAGAGGCTAAATGTTGTACAAAACGCTCTTTTACCACCGTGTCTTGTCCAGGATTACTGCTTAGTATTACTTGACTATTGAGAGAACAGGATTGAGATGCTTTTGTACATTAACAGCTAAAGGTTGGCAATTTTCATTAATAAAATGAAAATGTGTATCTTATGTCATAACATGTTCCTCTCTGGTTTGTTTTTTCTATGAACACGAAATTTGAAAAAGCAGGGGAAAAACATGTACTAATGAAAAAAGTCTTTTATTTCCTAAAAAACACTTTCACATTCAACAATAAAATGGTTTGGCCAAGCCTTGTTACAGGTTCAGGCAGTGATAATAAAGATGTGGTTAAAAGTTCAGACAGAGATACACTTTATCAGATAGTTCACATAAAAGACATTGACATTGCATTTGTTATTATTGACCTAAAATAACTTGTGTTTTTATGGCACTTTGTTGCATATCTTACTTGGTAACACTTTATAATAAAGGTTGGATTTAATACATTTATAAGCCATTAGTTACTGATGAACTAATCATTTTATATATTTATATATGTGAAATATTAACTCATATGCAATATATTGTGACACAGCATAATGCTGAAAGTTTGACCAGTTAAAACTGGTTTGAACCAGCGGACTGTATTAATCTACAGGGTTTCACATATTCTGCTCACATGTAGGAAATACTGGCTACACACAGTATTCAGTACATGGAAATGTAGCTTATAGCTTTAAGTGTGTTGAGTTGTGTTTGAAATATCACGGTTAGGAATCAACAAAAGCTAACTTGTTAACCCAGACTTCTGGGCTAACCTGCTAGCCTAGCCTTGTTGCCTAAAATATTTCCTTACATATTTGCTAGCCTCGTTGTTCTACTGTGCTAGCTAATAGAACATTTTATTAAACTTAAAAGGAATATGATTTTTTTTTTTTTTTTTACCTCTACCCCTTTGCAGTTGCAAAACATTTAGCTAGCTAATAGTATACAGATGAGGTTTTATCTGATTTAGCTAGGTAGCATTTACTGCAGTTTTAGCTTCCCTGTTGTTAACTTAGTGAAGGTGAGGCCTAATTTTATACATGTATTTATCAATAGAAAAAGTTTCATATGTTTGTCTTAGTTTATTTTTCACAGTGTGAACAGAGGCAACATTGTTGAGACAGCGGGTTGCGGCACACGGTGCATTTAAAAATGGTGAATACTTTAGGTTGTAGCTTCAAACATGTCTGTAATGACTAACAGTAGATGAATGATTTGTTAATGATGTTCATAATTAACTGACACCTTATAAATGACTGCTAACTGGTCGTTGTAATAAAGTGTTACCTTAAGTGGGGTTGTAGAGCACTTACAGTTTTCCATATTCAATCTGTTTTTACATACAAATATTACATAATGAAGAGGATACAGAAGTGTTTTGGATTAAAGCTGGAGTGTGTTATTAAAGCTGTGATCGTACAGACTGCAGTCATAACAAAGAGAGGAAGGCACGAGTAAACTGTAGAAAAATTCAATAGAAATGTACAGTATACACAAACAGGTGACAGCGAATGGTTGACCTGAATGTGCTGTGAAACTGCAGGTTCAGCCTCTCTCATGTTTCAGACTTCATACTGTACCATGTTCACATCAGAGCCAGAATGATGTAGCACCTGGAGAGAGTCGCAGAAGGGGTTCCTAGTCAATCATGAGCTTCTTGAGGGAGTCGAGATACGCTGGGATGAGGGAGCTGACAGACTCGTTGTCATCGTTGAGGATCTTCTCCCCCCTGCCCTCTGAGCCCACAGAGCTGGGAGACCGGACCAGGCCGGGGTAGGGAGTGCTGTAACCCTGGTGGAACAATCAGATACAATGACTTGGAGGGTTAGCATTAAATCCTAACTCTATATAATAACAACTTTAGACCATATTTGTCACAACAGAGTCATGATCTTGTATCAAGTCGGCAGCTGATGGTCTGGTGGATGGATGTTACTTACAGAGGAGTAGCCCTTGCCGAAGCTGCCTCTGTTCTTGGTCCTGATCTTGGTGAGTGCTGACTCAGCGATGTCAGCACGCTCCTCAGCGTCGTCCAGCTCATGGACGGTCTTCCTGTACTTCGCCAGGTTCATGTTAGCTTGTTCCTCCTGCATCAACAACAGTGATCAGAACAGACAAGAATTTCACGGAGTATGTCAGATTTTGAGTAAGCAAGAGGGCGAGGTGACGTACAGCCTCCTCCACTTGTCTCTTGTAGGCCTTCATCTTGTTCTGCAGCCTCTCCACCAGCTCCTGCATCCTCTGCTGGTTCTTCTGGTCCTCCTCTGACTGAAACAGCAGCTCCTTCAGCCGACGCTCGTTCTTCCGCAGCGTCTTCACCGTCTCAGCGTGCCGCTTCTGCTCCGAGTCCAGCTCCAGCTCCAGCTCCTTCACCTGCACACAGACACGCAACAGCAGCTTCACCTCTGGTCCTTCAGCAGATGGTACTTAATGTGTGCTTACATTCATGAGGACACATTTATTTGTTTTTTTCAGGAGAACTGTCCTGAGTCATTTCACCTAGATATGTTTCTTAAAGGAAGTGATCTAATCTACAAACAGGGTCAGAAGTTAAAATGATACTATACCTGGTTAACAGGACCAGTATGTAGGATTTAATTGCATCTAGCAGGAAAGCTGCAACTGTTTGAATACAGCTCATCCTTAAGCTATAAGTGTATAGCAGAAACTAACATAACACTCAGCCACATAACAGCAATAACTAGGTACAATGTTAGAATAAAATCGCAGTGTTCCTTTAAATGCCACAGGGTACATACACAAAGCAAATAGAGGGGGGTCACTAGGGGCCTACAGCTCATTTATCCCTCAAGGCCCCCACACAGGTTAATCCGGCCCTGGACTATACTCTATTTTCTGTCCATTGCATGTTGATTTGTGTATATTGTATTTGTTTCCTCAAAAGAAATGACAACAATAGAGATGCTTGCTGCTTTACATGAAATCACCTGAGAATGATCAAACATACTGTGAGCTTACTACGGTACTTATCTTCAGGTAATACATATTGAAGTAACTGTTTGGAAGTGTTCTGAAGTACACTAAAATTCAGTACAGGAACAACTATTTTTTATATTTCATATCTTATATTTTATTTAAGTGAAAATTTGGGCCTAATAGTTGTGCTAAAAAAAAAGGTCAAAGGGGTCAGCGGCATCATGAATATTATGTAGATGTAATATTTAGCTCTGAAGCAAAGTGTTAACAAACCAGCTGGACTGACCGACTGACACCTTCGTGACTCCGTACCTTTCCCTCCAACTTCTGGATGATCTTCTTGCCTCCTTTCAGAGCCATCTGCTCGGCCTCGTCCAGCCTGCTGCTCATGTCTTTGATCTGAGCCTCCAGACCCTTCTTCACTCTCTCCAGGTGGAGCGTGTGCTCCTGCTCCAGACGCAGCTCCTCCCCCACTCGCGCCAACTGGAAGAGTTACGCCGTCCATTAAGAATACATTCTTTCAGTTAACTGAACATGTGTTACACTTCGCTGTACTGTCTTTTACCTCACAGCTGGCCTTCTTGATCTTGTCTGTGGATCCCCTCAGCTCTACCTGCAGCTCCTCGTGCTCCTGCTGCAGAGTCTGGAGATCCACCTCCAGCTTCCTCCTCCCGCTCAGAGTCGACTGGAACTGTGCACACGAGAGGAAACATTGAGACAGTCATCAGCCAAGTTTGATTCGTTTGATTAGCTGCTGTTTCTGCAGGACCCGGAAGCAAAGAGACTCTATCAGGGTTTCTGCAGGTTTCAACAAGTTAAATTAAAGACTTTTTAAGACCAGTATGAATGTAATTTAGGACCTAAAAAGTCTGAAGGGTAAATCAGTATTAATCAATATACAATTTTTCCAAAAACACATTTAAAAGTGAGACAGTAGACTTTTTAAGACCCTGTGGACACCCTGCATTATGTATCACCTGGTTGTTAAGGTCACAGTATTTCTCGTTGGCCTCCTGCAGCTCAGTCTCCAGGGCCTTACGGGCCCTCTCTGCGCACTCCAGGGCCGCACGAGTCTCCTCCCCCTCGCTGACCAGCAGGGCGCAGCGTCGCTCCAGGGCTGCCTGCTCCTCCCTGCGCTCCTCGTGGCTCCGTACCTCCTCCTCCAACTGAGCCTGCAGGTCCTGGGACAGGGGACAGTAACTCTGTAAGTATGTCTCTGAGGAAACCAGACCATACAAAATAATACTGCATCTTATCACCAGACCTTGATCTGCTGCTGCATCTTCTTGCTGTTCTTGCTGAGCTCCGCATTGTTCTTGGTGAGCAGGTCCACCTGCAGCTCCAGGTCGTTGATGTCAGCCTCCAGTTTCTTCTTCAGCTTCAGTCCCTCTGCCCTGCCCTTCACCTCCACATCCAGACTGGCCTGCAGGGACTCCAGCGCCCTCTGGTGGCTTTTTCTGAGGAGAGGAGGAGAGGGTTGGATTGTAACAAAGACTATAACAAAGTGCATGTTTAATTAATGCAGAGACAGTACAGCAGGGTTTAATGACACAGGCCTTACCTCTGAAGATAATGTACTATTACTTTGTGGAAGGAATATAGGGAGATAAAGGACAGGATGAAAAACAATGAGAGTTAGAGAATTACAGAGCATTAGTGCTGAGGGAAATTTATAGAGCACTTTCCAAGACACACAAAATGTTTCCAAAGTTAGTTAAATAAGACAATGACGACTCTTAAGCATGCATTCTGGTTTTAAAGCAACAGTTAATTCGGGGAAATATATTTATTTGCTTTCTTGCTGAGAGTTAGATGAGAAAATCGATACCACTCATATCTGTCCATTAAGTATAAGGTTACAGCCAGCAGCCAGTTAGCTAAGCTTAGCTTAGCTTAGAGACTGGAAACAGGGAAACGGCAAACAAAACAAAATCTGAATGAGCTTTAGAAGTGTTTGAAGGTGGATTTTTCTTCCAGGCTTGCTGTTTTGCGCTGGTTCTGTCTTTATGCTAAGCTAAGACAATCGGCTACTTGCTGTAGATTCATATTGAATAGAAAAATAAGACAGTGGTGTCAATTTTCTCATCTAACTCTAGGCAAGAAAGCAAATTCTTTTTCAACCCCCAAGCTCAAAAAAAAAAAACCTGTGGCCCAAACCCCACCAGGCTTTCAACGGGCCCCTTTCCTTCCCCCCTTTTGCCCCAACCCTCTGTTTTTGTTTACAAAACCCTGGCTTCCTGTTGCGGGGGAAGGTTAACCCCACCGAGCAAAACTTCGGGGCCTTTCATCAAATGGGCTCAAAAACCTCCCGCCAAACCAAAAACTTGGACCTTTGGGGTCAGAAAAACCAGGCTTTTCCTTCCGGAAAATCAAGGCGACCAAAAACCCCAAACCCCCAAACTCCACTTTCCCCAAAATTTCACATTTGCTTTAACAGGGGTTCAGTGGTCCCAAAAAAAGAGTCTTTTTTCCTTTTTTTGGCTGGAAAAAAAAAAGAAAATTTCAATTTTTTCTTCGTTTGCACAAAAAGAAGCCAATTGAAAGGGAAAGGTGGAGTTGTGGGGTTCTTTCTCTTTTCAAGTTCTGGTTGGGCATAAATGGCCAAACATAAATGTTTTTTTTTTTTTTGGCATATGTGTTGCTCTCTAAGTTGGTCCAATTTTTTTTCCATTTTTCCTTGGGCCTCCAAGTATTTGAATTGGAGGCGGGTCTTTCCCCCCAAAACAAGCTACATTTAAAAAAAAACAAAAAAAAATTTTCAAAGGTTCTATTTTTTTGGCCGGTTTTTACCAATTAAAATAAAGAATTGGGGGTGAAGTTATGGACATTGAAAATGAAAATTTGGGAAAGTTGTTTTTTACAACAGAGGGCAAAAAGAAAATCCATTAAAAAATTTTGTCCAAATTTTTTAAAAAAGGTGCAAATTGTTTTAAAACTGCAGGTTAAAAGCTAAAAAAAAACCAAGCTCAAAAAATTAAAATTTTGATGAAAATGTTTACCAAAACAAAAAACCAAGTTTTTGTGTAAAAATGGCATTTTTTAAACCAGGGCAAAGGGGAACTCCCCCTTACGGACATTTATACTTTTGTAAAAAAAAAAAAAGAAATTGTTGTTTTGTCATGGTTTTTAAAACAATTTTTTTTTTAAAAGTTTTTTGTTTGTTTTTTGTTTTTTAAACCCAAAAAAAAAAATTAGGGGCCGAATTTTTATTTTCTTTAATTTTATCAAATTGCCAGGTTAAATTTTTTTTTTTAACAACAATTTTTTTTAAAAGCAAGTTGGGGTTTTTTCTTTTGGCTTTTAAAAAACCCTTGGAAAAAAAGGGAAAGGTGAAAAAGGGGTCCAATTGTTTTTTTTCTTTCCTTCCTTTTTAAGGGCTGTTTTTTTTTTTCTTTTTCTGGGCTTCCTTAAAGCAACTAACCCCAGGTTAAAAAAAAGGGATTTGCTTATCCCACCTTTAAAATTCTTAAAAAAAAAGGATCGGTTTCTAAAATTGTTTTTTGCCTTGTGTTTTTTGCCTCTGGTTTTTTGCTGGGGGGCAAGGGGTTTTTAAAAGTTTTTGTTTAAACCAGTTTAAAAGTTTTTTTTAAAAAAAAAAAAAGGAGCTTTTTTTTGCTTAAAAAAAAAAGGACAGCCCAACCAAAAACTGTTGTTTTTTTTTAAAAAAGATTGCTGTTTTTGAAATTGAGGGAAACTGGGGAGAAAAAAAAAAAAAAAAAACATTTTCAAAAAAAGGATTTGAAAAAGCTTTTTAAAAAAAAGAAAAAGCTAAAAAAAAAAAACTTTTTTTTTAAAATCGAAAAAAAGAAGGGTTGAGGGGGGTGGGTTTTATTTTTTAATTTTTTCTCTTGGTTTGGGTTTTGTCAAACTTATTTTTTAAGTTTTGGGGAAACCCTTTGGCCACAAATTTAAACCAAAAAAAAAAACAATTAAAGTCATTTTGAAAAAAAACCTGTTGTTTTTTTCATTAATAAAAAAAAAAATTTATTTAATGGGTTTTTTTTGGCAGGCTTTTTAAAATTGGTTTCTTTTATCTTTTTGGTTTTTAAAAAAATTTTTTGGAAATTTAAAGATTGAAAAGAACTTTTCTTAGTTTTTTTGCAAGTCTAAAAAAAAAACTTTAAAAAAAATGGAAAATGTGGTTTCAGGAAAGGCATTTTTTCCGTTCCTTGAAAACGAGGTTTAAAAAAAAAAAAAGAAAGAAGGGTTCCCAACTTTTCAAAAAAAGGAAAATAATTTTGAATGTTTCATGTTTTCTTTGTATTTTTGTCTTTTTTTAAAAGATTTTACATTTTAAACCGGGTTTTGAATATTAAACCTTGGAACATTTTGTGGCTTTTTTCTTTATGTTGTTTTTGGTGTTTTCTTTTGAAAGTTTTTTGAGTTGAAACAAAAAAAAATCTTTCCACTGCAAAACCAAAAAACATATTTTTAAGGGTTGTTTTTGTGGGTGTTGTTGTTGTTGGTGGTTTGGCTTGTTGTTATTTAAGAGTTTTGGGGCTAAGCATTTTTCCAGTTTTTAGGGGGAAGGAAAGGGAAAAAAAAAAAAAAAAAAAAATCCCATGGGAAAAAAAAAAAAAAAAAAAAAATCCTCCTTCTTTCTGTTTTTTTCCTTTCCTTTCCTTCCGTTTTTGTTGTCTGTTTTGAGAAAAACAGGAGAAATTTTTTTTTTTTCCCAAAAAATGGGGGATTTTCTTTTCTCCCAAAAACTGGAAAAAATTTGCTTAGCCAACTTCTTTAAACCAACACACAAACCAAACCACCCAACAACCACCCAAAAACACCAAAACCTATTATGTTTGTTGCAAGTTTTGGGAAAAAAAGAATTTTTTGTTCAAACTTTCAACTTCAGAAAAAAAAAAACCACATTACACATTAAAAAGAAAAAAGCCCAAAAACAAAGTCAGGGTTATTTTCAAAAAAAAACCGGGTTAAATTTTTTTGTTTTTAAAAAAAATCTTTTAAAAAGACAAAAAAAAATTTACAAAGACAATGGAAACATCAAAAATAAATCCCTTTGAGTTGGGGGGAAAAAAAAAAACCCTCTTTTCTTTAAAAAACCTCGGGTCAAGGGAACGGAAAAAAAATGCCTCTGAAACCACATTCAAATTTAAGTTAAAAAAAGAACCTTTTTGGCCAACTAGAAGTCTTTCATCTTTTTTAAAAATCCAAAAATTTAAAAAAACAAAAAGGATAAAGAACCAATTTTTAAAAAAAAAAAAAAGGCTTTGGCAACCCATTTAAATTTAAATTTTTTAAAATATTTTGAAAAAAAACAGGTCCAAAAAAAAAAAAATTTTGGACTATTGTGTTAAAATTTTTGTGGGCAAAGGGGGGTTTCACTTTTAAATAAAGTTGGAACCCAAAAAACCCACAAAAAAAAAAGGAGGAAATTTTTATTACCCCAAAAACCCCCTTCCAAAAAAAAAAAAAAACCTCTCGCTAAAAAAAAAGGGTTTTTTTTTTTTAAGCTTTTTTCTTAAAGCCTTTTCCAAATCTTTTGAAAAAAATTTTGTTTTTGGCCTCCAAAAAAGTTTTTCCCTTTCAAAATTTCCAAAAAAAAAAAAAACAGGCAATTTTCTTAAAAACAAAAAACAAGTTTTGGTTTGGCTGTTTCTTAAAAGGCAAAAAAAAAAAAAAAGCTCTTTTAAAACTAAAACTTGTTTAAAAAAAACACTTAAAAAAAACCTTTTTGCCCCAAGCAACAAAAAGAAAGAAAGGCCAAAAAACCAAAACAGCAAAACAAAAAAATTTAAGGGGGGGAAAAAAAAAACGAATCTTAGATAAAAAAAAAAAAAAAAAGGTGGGAAGCAATCTAAAACTTGTTTTTTAAAAAAAGTTGCTTTTAAAAAGAAGCCAAGAGAAAAAAAAAAAAAAAAAACAAAGCTAAAAAAAAAAAAAGGAAAGGAGAAAAAAAAAAAAAACCAATTTGGGGGAAAAAAACTTCAACTTCTTTCAGGTAAAGCCCCAGGAAAAAAAAAACCAAAAACAAAAACCTTTTGTTAAAAAAAAATGTGGTTTTTTAAAAAAAAAAATAAACTTGCAAATTGGATAAATAAAAAAAAAAAAAAAAGGAAATTTAAAAAAAAATCGTGGCCCTATTTTTGTTTAAAAAAAAACCCCCCAAAAACCAAACAAACTTTAATGAAAAACATGGCCAAAAAAAAAAAAAAAACACAAAATTCTTTTTTTTAACAGTTAAAAAAATATTTTTTGGTTCGGGGTTTTTTTTAGGGGGGGGTCCCCTTTTTTTTTGCCTGTTATTGCCAATTTTTTTTTTTTTTTAACAAACAAAAAAAAAAACTGTTTTTTTGTTGGTTTTTAACAATTTTTTCAATCATTTTAAGAAATTGAAAGCCTTTGTTAGGCTTTACTGCAAGAAAACATTGCAAAAAAAACCTAAATGGGAAAAACGAATTTTAATTTTGGGGAAAAAAAATCTTTTTTGCTCTGGGTT